CGCCAGCTCCCCCGAACCCAACAAAGGAGAATGGGCAGAAAAGGGCAGGACGACCCCTCCATTCAGACCACCCCGAAACGAACACCACGAGCAGCCTGAATCTCGCCCCAATCTATAACTCACACATCACGCAAAGTCGTTGCAACTCCAGGAGGCCGGTGACCGGAACTTGAGAAAACTTACCTTGAGAATGGAAGCCCGACCGATCCAAGACACCATCGTCGCAACCGGAGAGGAAGAGGCCTCGTATGACGAGCTGCATCAAAGAGAGGGAGAGCCACCGAGGACGACCACTGGTCGAAGCCTCGACTCCGCCGAGAAAGGCAATCGGAAGTTGAAAGGAGGAAACGACGATGGCGATTTGGGGATTTGGAGAAATCGGGGGTTTTAAAATTTGTAGAATATAGCCCTTGATATATTTATTTTTTAAAAACCGATTTTTAGTGAATGGAAAATAAATGGTTAAAGTTAGTAATTAATTGGTACGTAAAACATTGGCTAAGAGATTAGAATGGTCAAGAGTCATATCTCACATTAAACTCCTAGATGAGGATAACGAAAATAACAAAGGTATGTAACATGTGTTGGTGTTGGCTTCGACTACACATAGGCCTTGACTTTGGTCCTTGTTCCTTAGGTTGTGATTGGATATGGATTTGATTTGTTATTTTTAACCATAGTTAATTTGAAAAAAAAAAAAAAAGGGTATGGTTTTGTTAATGGGAATAAAAGTTTAAATTAAAATATTATTTAAAATAAAATAATCAAAGTTACTTTGATGTAAAAGTATGAGAATAATAATTGGAAGTGATGGTTAGTTAATATTATGTGAGTGAATAAATAGTAAATTAAAGTTTATGTGGTGCGTAAGAATGATTGGTCGATATTATTTAATTATATTGATAATATTGAGGATAGTGGTGTTGAGTTAAATTTGAGTTCTAATTTTTTATTTTTTTAAAAGAAAATATTATAACCAACCACACCCTTAGCCCTTTGTTTGTAGTATTTTTTTGGTAGATGGTAACCAAGCTAGACGACTCGGGTCATTCTCAAAGGAAGGCTGTTCGGAGCTTCGTTCAGTCGTCAAAATTACATAACCGAAAACAAGGCCCTACACGTTCTACTCGCTTAATGGGATTAGATTGCACGAAATTAAATTAAGAATCTAGAGTAAATGATGGAAAATGCAAATAGAGAGAGAAAGATCGAAACTTTGGTCTACTGGAATCTCCATGACTCAAGAAAAAAAAATAAACAAGAGAAAACATGCGAGCAAATTGATCCTCGGTATTCTAACACGAGCTTTCTACACTAAATCATCACGCTTTGAGAAAAGTCGAGACCTTTCTAGATAAGTACATATCGAATCCTAACACACTTTAACAAGCAATGAAAATAAAGTAAAAACCTAGAATCGAGCATCAACACAATATTCGAAAAACAAACTCGAAGTAGTAAGCCGTAAGCTAGGTACTTACTCTCCTATCGCATGCGAAAATGAAAATAGTGCGTAAAACTCGAAT